TTTAACCCTTCTTTCTTCTCTTGGCCCCATAAAAGAGGAAGGAAAATGTGGAGATGCTCACAAGCAACATTATTATGGGCAATATGGGAAGAAAGGAATTCCAGAATCTTCCAAGAAAAAGGAAGCAGTAGTCAAACCTTAAAGGACTGCATTTTGTCCAGGTCTTTACATTGGTTAAAGACTCTAGAATTATTTAACCATTTTACTTTTACTRATTGTTGGAAGGATTGGAAGTTGGTAGCAAGTTGTTCCTCCTACAGGGGAAGGGCAGTGACTAGCTAGGTCCCCCTCCTCTTGGTTCTTTGAAGCTGAATTTTGATGGGAGTAGCCAGGGTAACCCGGGTCCCTTTGGGATGGGAGGTGTACTGAGCAATGAGGCTAGAGAGGTTGTCTTAATCTACTATGGCCCTTTAGGAGTTGGAAACTCTATCTGGGTAGAACTGCTAGCTGCAATACAAGGAATACTTCTTGCAAAAGAAGTGGGCGTGGAGCAGCTTCTGATTGAAGGAGACTCTAAGACAGTGGTGGACTGGTTAAATAATCCGGAGGATGTCACTTGGGGCTACAAAAATGAGTTAAAGAAATTCAAATGGCTGACAAGAAATATGTCTATAACAGTACAATGGGTTGGGAGATCAGCTAATGCTTTTGCTGATGTCTTGGMAAAACAAGGGATAAATAGGGAAACATTGTTCTGGGCACAAWTGTAACTATTGTTTTAATTTCAACATTCATGTTTTCTCTGTTGTAGTTTGTGTATTTGCTGTTTGGAGAGGCTGCTCCTCACGCCTCTAAGGGGATCTTCTTGTATCTATTCATTATTTTAATGGAATTGATGTTATTTATCAAAAAAAATGATGAATTGGCAACATACACTTGATTTTCAGAGATAATGACACTTTTATATGTAATATAATGACAAGATTTTTGAACAACACATGCAATTTTTTTTTTCAAACACATACGCATATAAAAATTAAAAGACCTAAATTTTAGCACTAGATGCATTCCTATCAACTGAAAATGGGTCATGTTCATATGAATGAATAAAGGGGACATGTTGTATCATTTGAACACATTCTGGTTTGCACCTTGTGCCCTAGGATAGTGGAATTCTTCCCATCACACTGCCACATTTTAAAACACTAGTAAGTGTGCATAAGTATTTTAGTCATTTATCAAAAAAATGTAAGATTTAAATAGAAAAAATTCAATGGAGTGAAAAGTAGTAGTTCAATTTACAATTTAACCTCATAATTAAATAGGGACTAAATTCAAAAATGAGTATTTTAGTCAAAAGAAAGTTCTACAATTTTATTCATATTTTTATAGTATTGTAAATATAGAATTATAGATGTGTTCAATTTTTCTATTACACTTTTGTATTATTTTTGTGAATAAAAATAATTCTAATATCTCACACTTACATTTTGTTTAAATGATAAATATATGATATTATACATGTGCCTAAATGTTTTTTTTGCAAAATTTATGTATTTTTTTCATTTTTGTATTTTTATATTTTATTAATTTCCATTTTTGTATTTTATATCTTATTAATTTTCATTCTTGGTCAGTTCTAAATTATGTAATTCATTTTCATTACCAATAAAAAATAATTATTGTTCTTATAAAAAATAAAAATAATTATTGTTGATTACACTTATTTTTTTAATTTGATTAATAAAAATATCATAAATGTGTCTAATTTTTTCTACATTTTTGTAAGTTTCTATATTTATTTCTATTTTAAAAATTTTATTACCTAACTATGACTTCATATGTTGATCAATTTGATTTGGATGGTTGAATTGCTTAGCCACCACATGGATTAAAAATGGTTTTTTTTAGTCAACTTTAAAATATATGGGTTATATTGTTAAAAATATTGACACAAATCTCTGGTCATGACAAAGCAAAAAGGGCCAATGTAAATAAAACTCATATTTTGATCCCTAGACCCCTCCCTCTGAGGCATAACTCATATCTCTGTATGAGGGGTCTCTTTTTGTATCCTTAACTTCTTGATGTTTCCAATGGATCCCCTTGCTTACAAAAATAAATAAATAAATAAAAATAAAAATCTAATTTAAAAAGAAAAAATGGGACTATGGGAGTTAATAATTTAAGTATAAGAGGGGATTAAATGAGGTGGAAATTAATAACTGAAATTACATCTTCAACCTTTTCATTAGAGATGGAATAAATACACAATTATGGGCATTTTAGTAGCCACTAAAGCTGTAATAAAATGACTTTTATACCCTTTCTCAAACAAAGAAGTAGAGGGTAATTTTAGTCCAAAAAAGGTTCACATTGCATTCACACTTTTTAGATAGTATAGATTGGATTTACTAACATTAGACTTCACAACATGTCTACTTTTCAATGGTAAATATTATTTTTTTACTGAATAATGACTTTTTTTTATAATTTTTACTGAATAATGACTTTCAAAGATAGACTTTCTGAAACATGCTGGATTTCAACCCAAATTATGTAACCACACAATGGTGGAATTTATCCTAAACAATCCCCATTGGCAAAAAGATGATGACATCTACAGGATTTGATTTCTCAGTGGCAAGGAATAGGTCTGAGCAAGAGAGGTAAGACCTATTGACTGATAATACTGCACACTGTTCTTTGGGGAATTTGGGAGGAAAGAAACAATCGGCTGTTTGAAAATAGGTCCAAATCTAAAGGTGAACTGAGCAACCACTACTGCAACTTGTGGGCCTCTAGTTCAGAGTTCACAGGAGTTAGTATCAATGATCTCAGCAGAAACATATATAACTTCCTGGTTTCTTCCCCTCCTACCCCACTCTCTACTAGAGCTCCTTTAGTTAGGAGGGAAGGAATCTGGACTCTCAGCTTTGATGGAAGTGCTTATGGTAACCCCGGAGCTGCTGGCATTGGAAGAATTCTAAGAGATGAGAATGGCCACACATGCTGGGTTTATAGTGGTCCGATTGGGATAGCTGACTCAACAAAGGCAGAAGTGTTAGCAGCTCTAACAGGGATTCGCCTAGTCAGCAAACTGGGTATCCAAAGCTTCTCAATTGAAGGTGACTTAGTCAATACTATAAGATGGTTGGAACGACAGGAAACTGGACCTTGGAGACTTAGTCACTTCCTATCAGAGGCAAGGGACCTCCTGGCTCCTTTGAATGCTTCTCTAACCTGGATCCCAAGGGAACTAAATAAAATGGCAGATGGTCTAGAAAAATTAGGAGTTATTCTAGAGACTCTGTACTGTGATTCCTGTCCTCCTGTGTAATTCTCAGGGGTCTAGCCCCTCTTTTGTATTTGTACACACTCTTGTGTACCTCTCTTTTCATCAATAAAATTGTTGACTTTTCTCAAAAAAAAAAAGATGATGGCATCTAGGTGAAGTTTTTTTCAGAAGGTTACATAAAGTTCAACAGAGTGGTTTATTTGAAGTATGTGACGTACTGAAGGGTTTTCTGTTGTAAATATAATGCAGTGTACTTATAGTGTATTATAATAAATCCAAAGCAAACAGTAGTACAAAGTCATATACAGAAATTCATAGATAAATATCATACGAAAATTATTAATAAATACTGGCAGAAAAATAAGATTTTATGAGAAAATCTGATTGCCAAATATTCTCCAAAACTGTTGTTCTTGTAACTAAATGTAAAAGACAAACCTCTGAATCAACTTTATCTAGGATTTATTCTTCCTAAAAATGCACTAAGCATAGACAAGAACTAACCTTACCATATCCAGACCTTTCAGAAATACATGATACAATTATATATTCAAAATTGTCAATAGGTTATAGGATATACCAGAATGAAGTTGTCAAAATCCATAGCACATGAATGAGTAGGGTCATTAGCGTCTTTGGGGGAAACTTTGATGTTTGCCTTTGTTTTGCTTCTTAATTTCTTGATTGTTGCTCCAGACTTTCCAATAACATTCGCTGATTGGCTAGTAGGAACAAGAATATGAGCCTCCTCCTTATCTTTTCGTTTCTTGTCAGAATCCCCAGCGGTAGCTACTGCATTAGCAATAGAAGCATGTACTTTGAGAAGTGCATCCTGGGCAGGGCAGAGGGGCTTCATATCATCATTGTCATCATCAACCTCTACATCTTCCTTCTCCTTAACATGGCAATATATTGTTATAACCCTCTCCTTGGCACCAGGAAAAGGGTCCACAACCTTAATCTTCGCTCGTGTCTCCTGTCTTATTGAATTTATTACTTTCCCACCCTTACCAATGACACTTCCAATGACATTATCTGGGCAGAGTATGCGATAAATAACCAACTCACCATCCCCTGTATCATCTTTGTTGTTGGCTCGTTTCTTCTGGTTCTTGGTATCTCCATCATTGTCCCTCTGTGAACGGGAGCGCTTACCAGTCTCACCCATATCTGGCCAATCAAATATACCTTACAGTATAATCACTTCCTATAAGGATATAATGCAGTATAAGCAAGGTTCAAAATTTATCGGGTGTATCGTATCGTCGGTGGCTTCCCGATACGCCTATTTACAGGTGTTTAGGGAACCCCTCTTTTTAATAAAAAATATATATAAAAATAGGCCCAAAAACCAAATTTTTTGAAAAAAAAAACTAAAAAGCATAAAAGCGTGTTATTTTAAGTACCGATACGCCCCTGTGTATCGATATTTTGCATCTTGCCTTCCTTTCCCTACTTTTTCCTTCAAACCAAACACAGCCTTGAGAATGTCAAAGGCATAGACACTATACCATACCAAAAGACCTTACAGAACTACTCGTACACACCAATTCACCGACATTAATTAATCGGTACAAAACAACGTCGTTTCGTTAATAACTAAACTTTAATACGAGCAAAAACGGTTTTTTTTTTTGCTTTTCTACTTTACGAACCAGCCAGACAAAAAATCATCATCCAGAACCACAACGAATACCATAGTAAAACAAAAAATGCAAAAGAAAGGAACTCCTCAGAACGATTTTCTTCTAACAGAACCAAGAGGATTATGCAACAAATAACTATATAAGACTTCTGGGAAAAAAAAGAAAAATAGAACACTTCTGAAATTCTTGCTTTGAACCAAAAATCCAAGAAAGAAAAAGAAAAAAAAAACCGTAACTCTAGGATGCTCAAAAAGTTAGCTTGAAGAGAAGAAACGCTGAAATAATGGCGCAAGAAACGTACCTGTAACCAGGAAGAGGCCGAGGAAAAACCCTAGCCCTAGAAGAGAAACACAAACGAGTTGCTACTTCGTTGAGCTCGAGACTTTGTGGAGGAAGTCCCGTCAGGATTACGATTGGTTCAATCTAGTTGGTATAAAGAGTTGAGTTTCACAACCGGGTTGTTCGGTAATTTTATTTACTTTTTTCTGAAAGGAAACCGGCTATAAGTGGTTAATATTCAACATTTTAGGCGGAACGGGTAAATGCGGGTTCTGGAGACGGGAAAGAAGCTCCGGATTCGAGTAACGTTCACAACCATAGACAACGTTTTAAAAAACGATCCGGAAACGGAACCGTTCTTCCACCGGTTTTCGGGTTAACATCCGACTGTTCGGTTCGAATGGACGGTCCATTCTGACAGTAAAATAAAAGAATAAAAAAAAAATTGTCAAAAATCATTGAATGGGTCAACGGGTCAACTGCCTGGGTCAATAGTTTGTTTACTTTTTTAATGATTTTTTACCAGATTTCGAGTTTGGGGTAAAACGAAACCGGTTGCCTGAACGGTTCCCAAGTCGAATGGTCCGGATCAACAGCGGTCCGAAAACGTTGCCATATACCATACTGTCCAACTACTGTATGGAAAATGGTGGACCTTACCAAAACAGCAAAATCTGAAAATTGGTTGTTCACAATTTATCCTGCAGAAATGAAAAACGAGACCAGATCTGCTCCTCACACCAACCTCACATGCACATCTTATCATGCATTGGAAACATCTCCCGCATCTATAAGTTATTATTCATGGGGGATGTTTCCAATGCACAGTGGATGTGCCTATGAGGTGCTCATATGTGAGGAGTAGATCTCGTTCCATAAAAAACGAGTAAATATGCTTTTTTGGGTGTGAACATTTTTTTCTCGAAAATCATGACCAAAAAGTGCCCACATTACCAAACACCATCTAAATATGCGAATTTGCTTTAATATCCCAAATGCGTCTCACAACCCATTCCAACCATATATTAAGAAATTCTTATAACAAGTAAAAAAGATGTTCCCAATACACATTGAGATGTATATGTCAGACGTACCAATCTGATCTCTAAACATGTGAGAGCTGTTCTATCCGAGCATAGAAGTGCTATCCTCTCTTTTGTTTGTGAACCAATTTGTTGTAACATTATCTTTTTGTAGGTATGGGAGTAGGAAATCCTAGATGGGGTCCTCTAGGCCAAACGGAAACACTCGACTATCGCCAGGCACTTCCAAGGAGTCTTCGAGACACACTCAAGGATGCCGACCACGAGTAGGAAATCTCCTTTTATAATGAGGAGTTATTTTGGAATTGCAATGCTAGCTTGTGGGCTTCAAGGGCAGCCCATATTTCCGCAACTACTCTTCTTGTTCATGCTTCAAAGTGGGCCATTTGGTTTGTGGAAATAGGGGTCTAGAATGAAATCGAAATATAACCATTTGGTTGGGTAGAATTGAAATCTCATTCTCATTTTTAATAGAACGATATTCCCCATTTGAGGGAATGGCAATTCCCATCCATTTCTTCAAGAATGAAAATCCCATTCCAACTGATTTCAATTCTAATTCCAATTTCAATTACTGTCTAAACCAAACAGACAAGCAAAATAGATCATTCCGATTTCGATTCCAATTTATTTCAATTCAGATTCCAATTTCAATTCTGATTTTGGCTATGAACCAAACGGACCCGTGGTTCTATTTAATTTTGATGATGCATTTTCACGAGTTAGGGATGCAAAACGGATCAAATCAGATATCAATAGATCCAAATTTGATTCCTTGCATCCAAATTCAAATTATATCTTATCCATTGAGTTTATGCCAAATGGGATTACAATTGGATATTAAATTGTATAAATATTTAAATTAAAAATGATCAAAATGTAATGTAGTATTAATAAAGTGAACTAAATGACGTTGATATTATATTTTATGAACAAAATTCATTCATAATTACTTACATGAAACTTAAACTTATGAAAATTTAGTAAAAAGCAACATTCAATCAACTTTATTAATATATAATATAAAACTTTATTATATGAGTATAAATATATTTGAATCAAATCAAATTGGATAGGGGTGGATTCATATTGGATCCAATTAGGAATGGATTAAATTCAAATCACCCTTAAGACTATGTTTCATTTGAAGGAAAAGGTAGAGAAATGAAGGGAAAAGACAAGGAAACCCATATAAAACACAACCTATTGGAATGGAATTCGGACAATTGAATGGCATTTGCAGTTGTATCACAAGCATTATGTTGTTGTAATGATTTCTCAGCTCAATTAATATTTAAACCTTTTGCTATGTCATGCATTTAGTAAAACATGTGCCCATTTGAGAGGGCTTTTACAAAATGGCTTCTAGTATTGCAAGGTCGTGAAGCTATATCGGTGAAAAACCAAAAAAGCCAAAAAAAAAAAAAAAAAGCTTACCTTGAGCTGAGAAATCAACTCATTGCGAAAGCTAGTTTTGCTAACCTCTTCAAGAACTCACTTAATACTAAAGCCCTTTCAAATATGTCCTAAAATATTTTTAGGGTAAAAGGCATAAATATACCTAAGTATTTTAGAAATTGACTTAAAGATACCTTGGGGTTTTAATATGGATTTAAACAAAGTTTTTAAAATCGAATTGGACAACGAACTGGTCAGGGTCCAGTTCCTGGGTCCAACGGCCCGACTGTTCGAACCGAATGGATGGCCTGTTCTGAAAAAAAAAATTAAAAAAAAAAACAGCCAAAACCATTGGACGGTTCAAACGGTTCGACCGCCCAGGTCAACAATTTGCTAACCAAATCAACGGTTTTTGGCGAAATAATGGTCCTTGGGTAAAATGGACCGGTTCCTAGTTTTTTCGGTCCAACCATCTAGTCTGGTCCAGTTTTGAAAACCATGCACTTATACATGTGACACTTTTATCCTTTATTTTCTTTCAAACTTTCAAAAAGAACCTAAGAGAACCATGTGACTCACCTACCAATGACCTAAACCTGAGTCAAAATGCTCGGTCATTCAAATGGCTCCCAGAGGTGTCCTAACACATACAAATAAAGAAATTGACTTTGTTTAGAGCAAACCAACTGTTGTTGTTTTCAGCTATATTTAACATTTTAACATTAATTGAGGTTCTACAGGATACATTGTCTGGAATATTAGTGTTAAATCACTTTTTAATTTTTTCTAATGGGAAATCGTTGACAATAACACAAATAATCTTTTATTTTTGTTTTTTGGCTCAATAACTTTGAACAAGAACTCACCAACAGGTAATCACAACTGTCCGATCTAACCAAATTATTCTTTTTTTTTACATTTTTTTTTAAATTTATCACAATTTTTCAAAATATCTAAAACTTATCATGTCAGTAAGTTTTTATTTTTCAAAACACACCTTCCATTAGTACACCGTTATGTTTCTTAACAGAGGTGTCCTTGTCAGCATAAATAACAATTTTCATGACCAAATTACCATTGAATAGTGAGTTAGAGGAAAATTGGTCTTTTTCAGTTTTCAATTTTCTTGTTTTTTTTTTTGCATTTTTAGTGTTTTGTTATAATTTCCAATGTTTTATATAATTCCTGTTTTTTACATTTTTCTATTTTTTACAATCTATAAACTTTCCTGTATTTTTGTTATTTATTTACAATTTCTGTTTTTCTATAATTTTTGGTGTTTTTTCTACAATTTTTATTTTCTGATTTTGTTTTTCAATTTTTATAGTTTCTATAATTTGAAAATATTTTTTTATTTTGTTTGCAATTTCTATAATTTTTTATACTTTTTGTAATTTCTATTTTTTATGTATTTTATATTTGAAAATATTTTTTGAACTTTTTCCTTTTTTAATGTCTAAATATTAAAATGGTAATATATTAACACCCATTAGTTTGTTTAACGTCAAGTTAGTGACATGGTGAGTTTTAGGCATTTTGAAAAGTTGTGGTGAGTTTAAGAGAAATACTGAAAACTCATAGTGAGTTTTAGAAAATTTCCCTTTTTTTTTCTGTCTCCAACTCTTTCTCGCTTTCTTCTTCTCTTCTCTCATCGGAACAAGAAGAGGATAAATAATACCACAGAGAGAATCACACAGAAAAATATAGGAGGATAAAATAGGCTTTTGAAGATTTTTTATAAGTATGCATGTGGCATTTTACAGATAGAGGGTAAAGTCCATTGGGGTCAACCCATGGGGTATATTTAAGTCTATTTTTAAACTTTACGGTATATTTAAGTCTTTTACCCATTTTTTCGTAAATCCCTTAAACCTCTATAGGGCGTCCACGGTTTGGTTAACCGAACCATGGGCATATTTTGCAAACCAAACCGATGGTATTGGTTTTTTCAATTCTCCAAACCGAAACTGAATCGGTACCATTGGTTAACTAGTTCGCTGGTTTCGGTTCTTCAGTTTTTTGGTTTTTTATATTTATAATATATTATATAAATATATGTATAATATTATATTATAAATAATAAATGATATATAATATATTACAAATATTTTAAAAATATATAATATATTTATAAATAGATTATTATAAATATAATATAAGTATATATTTATATATAATGAATATATATTTATATATAATATATAGAAAATATGTGACATATATTAAAAATATAAATAAAATATACATATAAATATATACTAGTCGGTTCAGTTAACCGCCGATTATTTTTTGTAGGTTAACCGAAAACCGAACTAATCCTTTGATTTTTCAAAAATTCCAAACCAAAATCGAACCGATCGGTTCGGTTAACCGTATTTTGCAGTTCGTTTTTCTCGATTCAATTTGGTTTTTTAGTTTTTCGGTTTTTCATGGACACCCCTAAACCTCTCTTGTGTTTTCTTAAAAGAAATTAAACTTCCTCTAATGATTTGTCTTTAAACCTCCCCTAACTCTTAGGCTATGTTTGGTTCGAAGGAAAAGGTAAGGAAACCTATACAAGGTTTCTAAATGTTTCCCTACCTTTCCCTACTTTTTTCCTTCAAACCAAACACAACCTTAGGGATAATGGGACTTATAGCCCCTTCAGTTACTTTTATGTCAATGGTCACACTAAATGGCCATTATGTCCATACTAGCTG